TTTTTTTTTTTTTGAGACAGAGTATCGCTCTTGTTACCCAGGCTGGAGTGCAATGGCGCGATCTCGGCTCACCGCATCTCCTGTTTTTCTTTTTTTTTTTTTTAAAAAAAGATAAAGTTCTCCTGCTTTATTCAAATGCATTTAAAATTCTCAGGAGGAGTAGACAGAAGTTTGGCCTCTTTAAGAAAAAGAAACAGCCAAAAATGGAAATCAAGTGTAAATTGGGGAAGCCTGCAGAGCGCTGGTCCAGCTAATTCCTTCCATACATAAAGCAGACACTGACTCCTCCGGGAAAGGAAGGAGTGCGGTCTGGTTGCTAGGCAACGGTTCCCCTGGGGCAGAAGCATCGATGGGTTGGCTGTAGACTACATAAAAGATGGGGCAGGACAGAAGGAAGGAGGATGCTCAGACACTATTCCTCCATCTTCTGTTTCTGAGATGGAGAAAAAAGATACACAAAACCCCTCAGGGTGGTTGCAGGATTGCTGTGTAATTGGCAGGGCTGCTTTTTGCAGGACAGAAGCCAGCTAATTAGCGAGGTGTGAAGAAATCATTTCAACTTTCACATAATGATGGAAATGGTTTAGGATCAGTTTTTTGAAACCCGGAATCACTAAAACAGAGAGCAGGTGAAGGTTATCCTGAGAGTTGAAAGAAGCCAGAGGTAAGCAGAGGCTGCAGGCAGTTGAGCTTCATGTCAAAATGGCATCCTCGAATCTCTCTGGCTATTCTCACTGGGAAAAGGGCACCTTGTTAATCAAAGGATAAGAGTAAGCCTCCACAGCCAAATGCCTAGGTTCAAATTCTGGCTTCATCACTGTGAAGCTGCATTGCCAAAGGCAAACTACGCAAATGCTCTGTGCTTCAGTTTTCTCATCCATAAAATGGGCGTAATAATAGTACTTACCTCATAAGATTGTTGTGAGTAAATACGTATGTAGCAGTTAGAACAAGGTCTGCCCATGGTAAGTATAACATGACTGTTAGTTACTACTACTTTATGTTTCTCTCCTCTTCCAGATCAGAAACAAAAGATCTGAGCTCTTTATGCATTCTAATATCATTCATTCTCTTGTAACTGAGGTTTGTAAAATCATGGTCATCATTTGAATTTGTACATGGTTTGTATTGTGTATCAGTCAGGATGATTATGCTCGGTAACGAACAGTCTTCAGCAGCTCTGTATCACACAGCTATTTCTTTGGTTCATGTCTAAGGAGGGCTGGTGATGGGGATAGGGGGTGGGGCTCTGTTAATAATATTTGTTCAGAGGCCTTAACTGTCAGGGGCCTCATCTCAACACATGCTTGTGTTTGTCACCTAAGCTGATGCCAAATTCTCCCATGCTCACTCAGCTACCCTGGCTACACTGTGTTCCCCAAATGCTGTGCTGTTTCTCAACTTTTTTTTTTTTTTTTTTTTTTTTTTTGGACGCGGGGTCTCACTCTGCTGTCTGGGCTAGAGTGCAGTGGTGTGATCTTAGCCCCAGTCTTCCCAGGCCCAAGCTATTCCACCTCCTGAGTAACTTGAACTACAGCTGTATACCACCACACCTAGCTAATTTTTAAATTTTTTTGTAGAGACAAGATCTTGTTATATTGCCCAGGCTGGTCTCAAACTCCTGAGCTCAAGTGAGTCTCTCATCTTGGCTTCTCAAAGTGTTGGGATTATAGGCATGAGCCACTACACCTGGCCTCTTTCCCAGCTTCTCGTCTCTGACTGGAATGTTCTTCCCATGGCTAGTTTCATCTCATCCTTTTAACCTTAGCTGGAATAATACCTCCTGATCATCCCTTTTAAAGACAATTCTTTGTCCCAGACTTTCTTTATCATTCTATCCTGATGTTTCATCCTAAACATTTTATGTATGTCTTTTTTTTTTTTTTTTGAGACAGAGTCTTCCTCTGTCACCCAGGCTGGAGTGCAGTGGCATGGTCTCAACTCACTGCAATCTCCACCTCCCATGTTCAAGCAATTCTCCTGCCTCAGCCTCCTGAGTAGCTGGGATTACAGGCATGCACCACCATGTCCGGCTAATTTTTGTATTTTTAGTAGAGACAGCATTTCACCTTGTTAGTCAGGCTGACCTTGAACTCCTGACCTCATGAGCCACCTGCCTCAGCCTTCAAAAGTGCTGAAATTATAGGCGTGAGCCACCGCACCTGGCCATATATCTTGAACTATTCATTTGTTGTCTAAAATGGAAGCTGCATGAAGGCAGGGCCTTTGTTTTGTTTCCTGGTGTATCCCAAGGGCCTATAAATGGAAGATACTCAAAAGCATTTGCATAAATGAATGTCTACTCAAACTAGAATTTACACTCTCTGAGGGTGGGAGACTTAGTTACCTTATATATCACCAATTCCTTGGTCCAGGAGAAGTACTCACTACATTCTTTTTTTTTTTTTTTTTGAGATGGTGTCTTGCCCCATAGCCCCAGGCTAGAGTGCAGTGGCACTATGTCCGCTCACTTGACCGTCACCTCCTGAGTTCAAGTGATTCTCATGCCTCAGCCTCCCGAGTAGCTGGGGTTACAGTCATGCACCATCATGCCCAGCTAATTTTTGTATTTTTAGTAGAAACAGGGTTTCACCACGTTGGCCAGGCTGGTCCTGAACTCCTGACTTCAAGTGATCCGCCCACCTCAGCCTCCCAAAGTGCTGAGATTACAGGCGTGAGCCACCATGCCCGGCCAATACATTCTTATTAAATGAATAAATGAGCATATGGAGAGCCACCTCTTATGGTGCCCAGTTTCTCATATCTCAGACGAGTCTCCCTTTAGGGTCATATAAGTAGATGGAGGGTATAGAATCCACCTACCTGCAATTCTTAAAGCTGCCTTCTACCTCACTTGATGAGATTCCCCCAAAGCGGAAGTTCAATGATAAGGGAACTGTCGTTGGGAGGTGTTTCTAAAATGTTATGAACCCATTATGCTAGGACACCACCAGCTGACTGGCAGCTTCTGTCACTGTCATTTGATGGCAGCCACAGGAAGAAAGCATCAGTTTCCGGCGTCCGCACCGCCTGCACCCCTGGCGCTTCTCTTCTGGGATTTCTTCCCCTTTCTCTTCCTTTTGGAGACATAGTGGCTGCAGGAAAGGTCTCTGAGGCCAGATTGCTTGACTTGTAATCCAGGCTCCGCCACTTACTAGCTGTGCAGCTTTGGGCAAGTTACATTACCTCTCTGAGCCTGTTCCCCCATCTGTAAAATGGGGATGATAATGAAACCTACCCCTATAATGTGGTTGTAAAGATGAAATGAATCAATGTAGCCAAATGCTTAGAACAGTGCCCTGTGGTAAGTTCTACATAGCATTTATTTGTTACTGATCATAAGCACTTGCTCAGCACACACTCAGTTGTGGTCTTTGTCTAGGCTAAAGGGTTTGAAACGTCTTCATAAATTAGTCAAACACTTTTCAAGTAAAATTGGGAAGACAATCCTAATATACAAAACACAGTTTAAAAGGGCCCCTTTAAGGCTGGGCGCGGTGGCTCACACCTACAATTCCAGCACTTTGGGAGGCTGAAATGGGCAAATCACTTGAGGCCAAGACTTCGAGACCAGCCAGGCCAACATGGTGAAACTTCATCTCTACTAACAACACAAAAATGGGCTGGGTGTGGTGGTGCATGCCTGTCATCTCAGCTACGCGAGAATCACTTGAACCCAGGACATGGAGGTTGTAGTAAGCCATGATCGTGCCACCGCACTCCAGCCTGGGGATCAGAGCAAGACTCTGTCTCAGAAATAAATAAATTAATTCAATGAATAAATTTCTTAAAAATAAAAGGGCTCCTCTGGTCCTATTGAAAGTGAGTGTCCTAGAAGTTCTGAAACCCCTTCCCATCCTCCTCTGACAACTAGAAAATAAAGCTTCTCGAAGTGGGTCTCGAGATTCACAGCATCAGAATCACCTGGTTATTAAAAATGCTTATTAAACATGCAGAGTTTGGGGCTCCATCCCAGACCGACTGAATCAGATTCCCCATGGGTGATGCCTCAGAATCTGCATTTTAACAGTCTTTAGGTGATTCCTAAGCATGTGGAAGCTTTCTCCAAGCCTCCAAGTACCAAGTACCTGGTAGGCGACCTTTAGGTACGTCCTTCATGTTCTCCACTCCTGTCTAGGGAAAATCCTTTCAGGGTAGTGGGGTTCCTACAATGCCATGCTAACCCTCTTTTTATTTCCACTCAGAGGACAGTGAAGAGGAGGATAGTGTCTAACTTGGAAAATGGTACTACCACGTGGAGGGCCATCCACCAGCTGGCACTGAGCCATCCCACTGCATCTGCCCCAATATCCACTCCCTACTACTAGCTGGGTCTGGATTACGGTGGTCTACAGAGGTCCTGAACCTGAAATAGATTATGGTGCCCTTCTGTCCCCACACCCCTCCCTCCACCACCGAGTAATTCAAAATCAAAAGAGTACTAAACCTGGCCGGGCGCAGTGGCTCATGCCTGTAATCTCAGCACTTTGGGAGGCCGGGGTAGGTGGATCACCTGAGGTCAAGAGTTCGAGACCCACCTGCCCAACATGGCGAAACCCCATCTCTACTAAAAATACAAAACTTAACAAGGTGTGGTGGCACGTGCCTGTAATCCCAGCTACTTGGGAAGCTGAGGCAGGGGAATTACTTGGAGGCAGGAGAATTACTTGAAGCCAGGAGGCAGAAGTTGAAGGGAGCCGAGATCATACCATGGTACTCCAGCCTGGGAGACAGAGACTCCGTCTCTAAGTAAATAAATAAATAACCTGAAAATAGGTCAGTGAAGACCAGCACCTTCCAATTTTTCTCATGGTGATCACGCTAAGGCTTTCTTTGTTGTTGTTTTGAAGTTTAAATTCCATTGAAATTAGTCTTTTCCCCTTTTTATTTCTGGTAGGATGCCTGCACCCTGCTGGCTTTGTAAGCACCTGCCTTGTGAACTTTTAGGCAACCTTGAACTGCAGTCTAAACCTCTCTCTCCTCTGCCTGCCTCTTCTCAGGCCTTGATGAAATCCAGTGCTCCCTGCCCATGGAGAGCAGGAGGATATCCCTGCGCGAGCTGTCGGAGGCCAGCTTCAGCGAGTGTAGGTTCAGCCTGTCGCTCACAGACCTCTTCATCATCATCTTCTCCGGCGTGGCTGTGTCCATTGCGGCCATCATCTCCAGCTTCTTCCTGGCCACCATGGTGCAGTGCTTCCAGAGGTGTGCACCCAACAAAGATGCGGAGGATGAAGAGGAGGATGAGGATGACTGAGCCACCTCCTCCCTCCCACTCCTTCCTCTCCAGCACGGAACCGGAAGCCCTCTCCAAGCAGAGAGGAAAATGCTGAAAACGGAAAAGCACTGGCCACTGTCTGTGAATGGAACGAAGCCTGTTCCATATCTTGGCCCCTGGGTGCACCTGCTGGGACCATCAATCTCAGAGTTTAGAATCAGCAGAGCAGAGTAGCCCGGGAAAGATGGAGGGAATTCTTCCTGGAGCATAACCTGCCTCTCAGACTGAGGTGTGTGCTGTGGGAGAAGATGACCGAGTCAGTTTCATAGCTGATGGGTAAAAGCCTCCTCCAGGAGATACGAAGACTTGCAACTTTCAATGGGAAAGATGATTTTGTGCCGTTCTTTTTCTGACCTGTACCAGGAGATCATGAAGCATCTACCTTTTTCCCAAGAAGCAGCAACTCAACCAGTGGAGATTCAAATTCGGATCATTCACCACAAGAGTGAGAACTTTGCTCTTAATATAATGGGCCTCAGCGACCTTGGGATATGATATTATACTGAGAACTAATAAACTCGTGTGCAATAGACTCAATGTTGATGTGCCCCCCGAATTTCTATGTGGAAAGCTAATCCCCAGTGGGATGGTATTTGGAGGTGGTGCTTTTGGGAGGTGATTAGATGTAGCTGAGTTCATGAGGATGGGGCCCACATGATGGGATTAGTGCCCTCATGAAAGTTGGCCCCAGAGAGCTCCTTCACCCCTCTAACTCTTGAGGATGCAGCAAGAAATCAGCCACCTATGAATCAGAAACAGGCCCTCACCAGAACCCAACCACGCTGGCACCAAGATCTCAGGCTTCCAGCCTCCAGAATTGGGAGAAATAAATAAATATCTGTTGTTTGTAAGCCACTCCATCCCTGGTGTTCTGTTGTAGTGGTTGAAATGGACCAATGAAGAAGCTAAGAACTGGCCGAGGGTGTCTGTTAATTTTGGTAAGCTGGTTGGGAAAACTTTGAGTTGATGTGACTCAAAGCCTGATCTTTATCCTAAGAGAAAGCGACTTGCAGAGAAAGAATCAGTTGCTTTGTACGGTTGTGATGGTCTCTCTGCTCAGCGTCATTTTTCCTTCTGAAGTATAGAGAGGTGGTTCTCCGTCACCCGCTTCCTGAGTCCCTCCCCGGTTACTTTCTATGTCAGCACAGTGCTGGACTTGTCATCTCCAGAACTTTCGGTAAACGCCTGGAGGCCGGTATTCCAATCAGCATGTTGCACTGATGTTGCCCTGGATCAACAAAATGCTTCAAAACAAACAAACAGAAACAAAAAAACCCCTGGGACTTGGCCTCTGAAAAACTTCCATCAGTGGCCCTTTGGGTGTATGTGACGTTGCTTTTGTGCACAGGCTGTGACAGGCAGTGTTTTCCAGGATGTGGAATCCAGTACTTAGGTTCAGAGACGATATGAAACAAACAAGTCTTTCCCCCCACAGTGAGTTAATTAATACAAGATAGCCTGTGTTAGTGTTGGATGAGGCCCAGGGCTGCAACTCGGATGAGGCTCTCACACCAACTCTCGAGATGTTTTTGAGAATCGTTTCTCACGTTGTTTCCTGTCATATATTCCTGTTTTGTTCCTCCATTGCTCCCTTCCATCTTTGCTCCTATAAATAGCTGTTGAGTGCTTGCTAAGTGCCAGGTACTGGATCAGGCACGCAGATGTACATTGGCTAGGAAACACAGGTTCCCCGCTCTCTCTTGCATTATGTTCTGATGGGTAGAACCTAAAACAAACAGGGAAACAAAACTATCACTGCAAGTAGAGATGAGTATCATGAAGGAAATAAACAAAGTCCTTTGGCAGAGAGGCAGTGGGAGAAGGCACTCTGGGGGAGGAAGTGGGGTGTATTGGGGTTCTCCAGAGAAACAGAACCAGCAGCAGACAAAGGGATGTATTGTAAGGAATTGGCTCAGGAGATGATGGAGGCTGAGAAGTCCCATGATCTGCAGTTGGTGAGTTGGAGACAGGAGAGCTGATGATGTAGTCCCAGGCCAAGGGCAGGAGAAGACTCAGCTCAGCCATCAGGCAGAAAACCAGTGGCTTCTCCCTTCCTCCACCTTGTTGCAGTCAGGCCCTTCATGGATGAGATGAGGCCTGACACATTGGGGAGGGCCTCTGCTTTCCTCAGTGTACCTGTTCAAACGTTCATCGCATCCAAAAGCACACCCACGGACACACCTGGAAATAGTCTAACCAAATATCTGGGCACCCTGTGGCCCCGTCATGTAACTTTGACACAAAGTTAACCATCACATTGCAGAAGGCCTTTGATGGGGTGGCTTTCCGGCTGAGTCCTGCTTCCCTCTTCTCCCGCCTCCCAACCTGCTCGCTGCTTTCCTGCTCTCCCACTCTCTTCCTCCACCCTTCTTGTCTGCCCTCCAGCCTGGAGGAGGCTCTGGGTCACCCCTCCGCTCCCCAACATTGCAGTCTCCAGTGGAGGAGACCCCTGGCTCAGGAGGGCTACCTTCTCACAGAGACCCTGGGCCAGCGGAGAAGTGAGTGGCAGCCTGGATGACACAGCAAGACTCTGTCTCCAAAAAAAGAAAAAAAAAGGTGCAAATAAATGGGTTTCCACACCAGCTACCCCACAAACCTGAGATCTATGTAAGCATCCTTACAACTCTAGGTAACAGCTACTATTGTCCCAGCTTTGTAGATGAGGAAACTGAGGCTCAGAGAAAGTAGGTAGATTACAGGAAACAACTGAGGCAGAAAGATTTGTGGCTACTGGACTCCAAAGCCTATGCTCTTGATTCTGCTCATAGTTCATGTATATTACAGGCATTCTCTGTATGAGATGCTGGACCAAGCCCTTTAGGCAGATTCCCTCCTTTAAGCCACGCAAACTGTATGAGGCAGGTACCATTATCACCTACTCTTTATGACTTCATCACTTCCATTTTGCCATTGAGAGCTGGTTTGCGTCTGGAAGTAACTTGCTGGGGGGACGCAGCCTGTCAGTGATGGAGTGGGATTAGGCCACAGGTCCTCTGACCCCTGCATGCGTCGTCTCTCTTACCTACCTACATTCCCTTCTTAAGTCAGCAGGTGCAGACCTCACAAGGACAGCGTGGAGGGACACATTTCTTGAGGCTGCATGCTGAGCTCCTGGAAGAGCAGCCTGCAGTTGCTAAATGCACCCAGGATGACTTTATTTCAAGCCTCAAATCCAACATCCCAGATCCCCCCCATGAAAAGTCAATATCTTGTCTTACTGACTTGCCCTGAAGACCTTATGACGAGAGGATTCCAGCATCACAATCGAATTCATCAGTAATGAATGCTGTGATGACAGCGGGTAGCACTAGTACGGCTCTGGACCCGGGCAAGAGGGGCCCTATCTTGGGTCCAGTGCTTTGGGGGATCTGTTCCAGTCCTCCTCCAGCTATGCTCTTCCCCGGGGAGCAAGGAGTCTCTGGCCACCTGGAACATGTCCCCTTCTAGAACATTTTCTGGGTACTTGGAGCCCCAGATTTCTGGCAAAAATGATTCCAAGTTTGGATATGGGCACCTTCCCGGCATCCCTGCTTTCAGCCAGACTGAGTGGCCCCCAGGATGGTGGCGGGGGATGTGAATAGAGGTTGGATGCGCAGGGTGGGATGTCCACACAGGTACGCATAGACCCCTAAGGAGCAGGATGGAGCTGGGGATTGGCGATCAGCTCAGCTGTCCCCACAATGCCATATTCTGCAGCAGATTTCCAAGAATTTCATAATTTACCATATAAACCTGGTCTTCCAAGTCATTAAGAAGGTACTTTTGTCAAGGTAACTGGTTAGAACATTTTCCTTCGCAGTTTATCTGCAGGTGTGACTTGTAGATATTGAGAGATCAGTGTCTGGAGGGCATCTGCACCCTCATCGGGCTTCACAGATGTTACAGGTGACTCTGGGTTCCACGGCAGGGACCAAGAGGAGGCCACATGCTCTGGCTCTGGCCTTAGGATGCAGTAACAACACTTCAGCCTTGCAGTGTTGGTCCAAACTAGGCTTTATCCTGGAAGAGAGGCTAAGAAATGCATGTGCACAGACTGCTTTCCCTGGTGACAGAGAAAGGTTTGTAGGAAACGTCCATACTACTGTTGCCACAGCCTCCTCTCATCCTCCCCCTCCTCCCCAATGTCCCTAGAGGCTCCGATGGTCAAACTCAGAGGCACGAATCCTAAGTGCGTCAGCGGCTGGGGCAGGTGGTATTCCAACTCTATTCAATTTAACAGGACCCAGAGCACATTCAGGCTCTGAGTCTCATTAATATCCTGCCACCGCCCACTGAGCCAGCCACCAGCCCTGTGCCTTGGCCATAAACTCCTTTTTAGTGGCCTCTAGTGGCCTTGAGTGTTAAGTAATTTATTATTTGCAAAGTGGTCTATTCAAACACCTCTGTGGTGAAACCTACCCAAAGCAAACTCCTGTAGGTTTCATTTGCCTGCAATCCACAAGGTGTCTTTGTTCTTTAAGTCCTCAGGCCAGTAAACACACATGCAAACTTTACATTGTTTTTCCACGGAAAAGATTTTTTTTTTTTTTAAATAAAAAGACCACTGTTCTCTGCTGTTTGCAAATGCAATCTGTTTTTTATCAACACACTTTTCCAGGGTGAAAATGAGTTATTATAATTTGGCCTAGGAAAAAAAAATACAAGGTACTTTTAGTGTAAAACTTTGTACCCACATTCAGGACCAGTAATCATGAACTCATTCGCTCTCTGTAGTTCCACTGGAACCTGAGCTGGGAGTTGGGATTCTGAGCATCATTCAGAGTTTGACACTCAGCACAGAGCTCTCATCCCCATCTGAACCTCTGTTTGTGAATAATCACAGCAGGAAGCCATCGCCTGTTCACTGGTGTCCAATGGAGCCCTTCAGTGGACCGTCCCCTCGGTGCTCACAGCCCAGTGGCCTTGGACTTGCTATGGATCCTTTTAGGGCCACAGGCCCTCCTCTGGGAAACAGTCACCCTGACTTCTTGGGAGTCAGAGCACAGTGAGCTTAACAAGAGGGACTTCCCCGCAAACGTGGGCTCCTTTCTCTCCTCCTCCAGAATCCTGGTGGTGCCTCCTTGAGAATTCCCAGGTGCATGGAAGAGGACCCAGCATCAGCTCACAGAACCCAGAGCCAGCAGCCTGAAGACCTCAGTTCTCATTTTGACTGTTTCATAATTAGTCCCCAGGCCCCCCTGCTGTTGGCTTAATGACCCAGCTGCACCTCAGTGCTTGAGAATCTGCATAAATGTCAGAGGCAGCTTTTACACATGTGACCCACACGTCCCCAGAGTCCACTCACCTGGGCATCCAAAGGAGGCCACATGAATGTCCAGATTATGCTGTCCTGGTTGTCCCACTGCCTGAATGCAAGATTTCACCCTCCTGAAAGTGCTCCCTCCCATGCTCCAGCCTTCGGGCACTAAGGACTTCTGGGGATGAGGAGCCTTTCTCCAGCTTGAAGCCAAGCCTAACTCGTGATCATGGAGTGTCCAGGGTATCTGCTAAGGACTTACCATTACCCTGGCCACAGTGTGGCCTCACTGACCCTCTTGGGGGTTCTCTTCCTGAAGCTGTCCACCCCTGCCCAGGTGCGTGTTTGTTGTTTATTTATTTATTAATTTTTAAGGTGGAATCTCGCTCTGTCACCCAGGCTGCAGTACAATGGCACGATCTCGGCTCACTGCAACCTCTGCCTCCTGGGTTCAAGCGATTCTCCTGCCTCAGCCTCCCTAGTAGCTGGGATTACAGGCATGCATCATCACACCTGGCTAATTGTTGTATTTTTAGTGGAGATGGGATTTCACCATGTTGGCCAGGCTGCTCTTGAACTCCTGACCTCAGGTGACCCACCCGCCTCGGCCTTCCAAAGT